CGAGAAAAGACCATAGGAAAAAAAGTTTCTTTGTTTCTCACGATTTGTCTACCACGATTTGTCTCGAAAGAGGACCCACAGTACACGATGGCGGATGATTGTTATCACCCACCTTTTCAAGCGTTGCATTACCCGGAGACAGTTTGTGAGAGGTGTTTTGTTGATTAACGGGGAGGAATCTCCTGGCGAACAGGGAGGAATTTGCTGACTGCCTTGGGGGTATCAGGACATGGCGGAGGAGGGCCAGGACGGTCCCGCTAGGCGTCGGGCTAGCAAGGCCCACCGGGTTAGCATGGCTTGGAGGAGGGGGATCTGTTTAAGCGTTGACGTGAAGCATAATCATCTGGGATGGATGGACCGGGCGGGGGGCATAACGAACGAACGGGAAGGGTGAACTGGAATGGAAGGCAGTTTGCTGCGGACAGGCTCGTTGAGACAGCTGGACGAATTAACCGTGATGGGTACTACTGTCTATCTGTCTGTCTGTCTGTCTGTCTATCTGTCTATCTGTCTATCTGTCTATCTGTCTGGACCTAGCTTGGCTACAGTGAACCATGAACCTTGTGCTAAGACCGTTGCTGTGTCTGATGTTGGGGAATGTCATAAGGGTCGTCGTGGGATCTTTTCTGCCTTTTGAGTACTTGGGAGCAGAAGCAGAGAGTTATGCCGTAATGAATGGGCTTGGCGGCATTACCTTGTTCGAAGGTTTGGGTGAGAGGTCTAAGCTAGATAGGGGCAGAGAAGGGGAGGGGTTGAGGAGAGTTGCCGTGCCGGTACTGGGAAACTGAGAGAGAGAGAGAGAGAGGGCTTTGGTAATTAGGTGCTGTTTTTTTGCGAATACGTATACGCGGGGTTGAAGAACGTCGCCAGAGTGGACACAGCAAGACGAAAGCATCGATGTCAGGTAAGTACGGTAGGTAAAGTTGAGCAGCATTGTGGGGTGGGGGACTCTGGAGGAGAGAAGTGGGGGGGAGCTGAACATTGACGCGACGTGACTTGACTTGGTGCCTATCTTTGCGTGCGTATAGACTTTGGAGCTTCTTTTTTTTTTTTTTGTCTCTCGTCGACTTTCTTGATCTTCTTAATTCTCTCCATGTACCTAGTGTAGTGGAGTTTCCTCGATTGCAGTTTGCAGAAGGAGGAGGATGGGAGGGGGGGAATGGGCATGCGAACGGGGGGGCCCGGATGGAGTGGGTGTGGGGATTTTCTGCGGCCGGGCCGGATGGCAGGCCAGGCGTGCGTGTGTGCTGTGTCCCGTGCTCAAGCTCTCTCCAGACTTTTCCTCCCGACACAGGTTGAGTTGAGTAGATGGATGGGTGGTTCGATGATTTGTCGCGGCTTTTCTTTCCCCTTCTCTGGATTCCCCGTACCGGATGGGTACTGCGTAAGTAAACGCCCCCCGCTCCCCCAAGTGGGTTGGGTGTCACGGTGTGTAACTACGCAAGCATCCGTTGCATACCCAACTAAGTATGTACTGCGTACGTATGTGTCTATGGTCTGGATGATCCGGGGTGCAGGAAGAGGAGGGGAAAAAGGACAGGGAGAGGGAGAGAGAGAAATGTGGTGGGAAATTTTATCCTTGGGGGTTTTGGGATAGTGTAACATGTGCAATCTCCGTGCTGGAGATTTTCTTGTGTTGTTCCTTCTTTTTGGTTCCTGTTTGTTATTTGCTGGGGGGCGTGTGGTAGGTGCCACACGCCAAAATTCCTACAAACCAAAGACTTGTCTCATGTACAGAGATGGTAGTGTGTTTCTTTTCCTCCATTTTTGATTTTCCAGGGGGATTTGCTTGCTGGGGACATGGGTTGACCAAGGATCCGGGAGGATGGACGGAGGTCAGGGGAGGGGTTTGAGAGACAAGAGAGCTCCCCGGGCCGTGGGTCGCTGGTGTGTCTGGGGAGGGCTTTGGAGAAGGAAATCAAAGCAACCTGGCCGACGACAGCGAGAGTAAACGGCATTGTCGGCAGAGGATAGATAGACTTGGTCCAAGAGGTGGTGGAAACCTCGACTCTGGAGTGAAGGACGGGAGGAATTGACCAATGACGGGCATCAAACGGTTGGCGATCCAGTTGCTATCCGATTTTGCCGTGTCTTCCGGAGCTGCATCCGGAGGGGGCTCCGCACCAGAAGACGAGGCGGGCAGAAACTCCCCTTCCCGCTTGGCTTTTGCTGCTTGTGCTGCTTGCACATGCTTCGCAAAGGCTAAAGGAGGGTAGGTAGGTAGGAGGAGGAGGAGGGACGTGATCAAACAGGTCACTGTCAGAGTGGTGGCTGGATGGATGGATGAGAATAAAAGACCAGACGGAGGAATGGATGGATTTGGGTACGTGCGGAGAGTAAAGGGACATGTGGGAGCCGTTGAAGTGGGCGGGACGAAGCAGAGGTAGATGCGGAGAAGGTCTTTCTTGCTGGATGGGATGTAATGGGCGATGGGAACGTTCCAGCGCATCAGATGCGAGGTAGGTATCGCGATGTAGTTTTACACCACGGCTGCTGCTCGGAGAGAAATGTCCTCTACGCGTGAGGTGAACTACGACGTTGGACGCGAAGGAGAATGCGACGATGCCGGGGGGGGGGGGGCTATGATTTGGCTGGGCGCGTGTTGCAACCGATGAGCTCCCCCGGATGGGAAATGGAAGAAAGGAAGACGTCTGCGGATTCGAGGATTGACAGGGTAGGGATGTTGACGGGCAGCGGAGATCAGCGCAGCAAGGCAGAATCTCAAAATCCTGTTCGAGGGGTTGCGTTGCGTTGCGTTGCCCCCTTCTAAGTACCTTATTATCGAAGAAAGTTAATTCTTTCTAAGTCACAAGTACAAGAATATAGTTTTAATAAAATAGTATAGTACCTACTTAGTACTTAAATTAAGATACTTTTTTAAGCTCGCTATAAAAGAAAAATAACTATATTACTAACTACTTACTATCGAGGTTCGTAACGCTATAGCTTTAACCGTAATAACTTTATTTATAATAAGTAAAAAGTCTAATTATAAGTCCCTTAAAAGCCTCTTATTAAGAGCTATAAGAGCCTCTAAGTTAAGTTAAAATATTTACTAAAATATTAATAACTAAACTAACCCTATAATAATAACCTTAATAAAAGACCTAAAAAAAAACGCTAAAATCCTCGCTATCGTTAAGTACGATTTACGAAACATAATAACGTAGCTATAAAGTATTGCTAATATATTATATATTAAAAAGGGTATTATTAATATTAATAAAATAAATAAAGTCGTATTAATATAATACCTCAGCTTCCTCTTATAGCTTAAGGATTATAACTTTAAATAATATTAGAAATTTATTAAAAAGCTTTATTAAGTATTTTAATATATTTATTACTATCTCCGTAATAATAAGACTCCTAGTACTTACGTACGAGAGTAAGTTACTTATTTTTAAATAATAATACTAACTTATTAATAAGCTATTAAAATTATAATTCTAGCGATCCCTTAACGAGGGAGAGGGTAGAATAAAGGAAAGGATAGGTAATTTATAAAAAGGGTTAAGGTTAAATAGTACGAAATTCGAGGGCAGGGTAGCGTCTATATATACTGCGGCAATCCTCTAGTAATGCAAAACGATAGAGTTAAACAGTGTCGCGTTACCCCCTTCCCTTACCCCCTCTCGATCAGAGGCTACACTTCTCACGCTTGTCTATCCGTTCTGCACTGCGCGAGCACCCAAGAAAGTATATGCATGGAACGGATAGAGTATGCAACCCGTCACTCGTGGCTTTCCTCTTGGCTTATATTTTTTTATTTTTTGTGACATACCTTTGCCAACCGGGGGAGAGTGAAGTAAAGACAGTTTTAAGGCCAAGGGGGGAAGAACTGCTCCGGAAAGGATGCGTACATAGTACGTACGTAGTTAGGGCCTTGATGGTTGCCAAACAGGGTTTTGCAAGGAGAAAGTCAATTTCTTTGCTGCAGAAAAATCCTCTTCCTTTTCTCGGAGTATTTTCTTGCCCGTCGTGCTTGTCTCGTCTGTGCTGGAAAGAAAAGGAAAGGAGAGGGGTGACGGCACATGAGGGGCATTGATCTCTAATGTTCTAGATCGTGATCGACAGAAAAGAAAGGAACAAGAAAGAGAGATGAAATTGAGAAAAATGCGACGTTGGGCAGGGGGGGGGGGCCGGGCGATATTCCAGGTTTTTGGCCCAGAATGCTACGCTACACCAAAGGCCAGGCCAGGCCAGGCTCCTCCTCGGCGATCACGATGGGCTTCCCGGGGTGGTTTCAACTTTCGGGTGAAGAAGAATTTGATGAATTGCAGTTTTATGACTGCCACGCTGATGGTTCACTTACGAAATGTACAATCATCCGCAATGGGCGAAGCCGGGCAAAAAGTGTAAAAAGTCATGAGACCCAAAAGAAGAATACCACGGAGAGATGGGAACCAGGCAGAATTGGACAGAACAGAACAGAGCAGAATAGACAACAAAAAAAATATACCAGAAATTGGGGTAAGGTGGAGATTTGGGGTGGAAGGTGCCGAGACCGACAGGGTTCAGCGTCGCGCGTTGGAGAATGTGGAGACCGGCCGAGCTGCAGCCTGCAGTGTACAAGGGGGGCGTGCGTGTGGGGAAAGGAACGTACATAGAGAATGGGGGGTGCAATTGGTGGTGGTGGATGGGCGTGAAAGTAAAGCGATTGGTAGAGAGGAAAGGCACGGCGAGTACAAGCCTGTTTTGGGTTGGATTGGGTGATTGGGATGGATGAATCAAATTTGGGGAATAACGACGCTTGATGTTCAGAAGGCAGTATAGCACCTTGAAATTGGCCAATACACCAGAAACGCTAAATGTATGTTATTCTTCTTTCGCGTCGGAAAAGAGTTTTTTTCTCGCCCCCCCCCCCCCCATCGCCCGTCATTATGGACTACAAGCCCGGCCGCAAGCGGAGCCATCATCCCATCATCTCGCTCCGGCTATTGCGCCGTCCGCCCGGGCCCTCCGGCTCAACCGTCCGGTGTGATCCGTCCCCTCCTGCCTTAGCCGTGCACGGGGCTGGGGGTCTCCCGAATCGCCCGGATGGTCTCCCTCATCCGCGGGTTAGCGTCGAAGCTAGCCTCAATGAGGTCCACGACCTCGTCCGCCGAAAAGTACAGGCTGAGCTCGCTGTCGCACCAGAGGTACTTGACCTCATTGAGGTTGGACTGGAGCACCTCGCTCAGGTACTTGAGACGGAGCCACGTGGCCGCGTACTGCGCCGTTGTCGGAATTTCGTCTGCTGCCGCCGCCCCCGTGCTCGCACTCGTGGTCCGCGACGGCAGAAAGAGGTCGTCGAGCTCCGTGACCTTTGCAATGAGCTTCGCGATCCCGTACGCGTCGTCCTGTCCGATGGACGACGCGTCCATGACATCCCCGATAATCTTGGACGACAGCCCATCCAGAAGCGACCCCACCGCCTGGTACCACACCGAGCGTGCGAGAATCGATTCCCATGTCACCGCCATGGATCTGACCCGCGCTAGTGCCGAGTCCACGCAACTGTCCAGTTCATCCTGCTGCATGAGACTTTGATCGCCTGTGCGTCTTGCGTTAGCCCAAAAGCCATACCGACTGCCGGCAGTCTGCAGCAAGTGCTTTCAGCCCAGGCTAGAACAAAACGTACCTCCTAGCAGATCTCGCAGCACCGTTTTCTGCAACCCCAGCTCGTTAGTGTATGCGCGCGTCGCAAAGTTCTGCAGGCTCTTGATGTCGTTGTCTATGCGCAGCATGTTCTGGGCGCGTGTGGTGAGATCCCCGCGTGACTTCCACGTTGATGCCAAATCAGCCAGCTTCTCAGACAAATACATGGCATCGTTGTAGAGGAACCTAGACATTGGTCAGCTTCGAAAGGATACCCCTACAGAATGCTTACATGTTCCCGCCAATGTCGAGTGAGTAGTAGTGCGGCGACACTGCTCGAAACATGGCTAATGCGAATGTCGGCAAACTGAAGAGGCCCGGCGCGGCGGCTGCCACTGGACTGTTTTCGTACCTATCAGTGTTAGAAGGATCACCGTGTTGACATGAGCTCGCAACATACTCGGGCTGTGTCAGAGCCGCGCCGTCTTCGAGGAGGCCCAGTATAAGCTCCAGCACCGGCTCCGGCATGGAGGAGATGTGGTACGTCTCCTTGAGAACCATCTCCCTGCTCTCATCTGGCTCAGCAGATACCGTCTTGTGTTTTTTCGTCTGCGTCTTTGCTGCTTGAGGCTTCGGTTCTGGCTCCGTTGGCTCTGTCGCATCATCATCCCCCCAACCCCACGCGTCGGCTGCGTCGTCCTCATCGTCTGCCGTCTTTTCCTCAACCCGCGCGGTCTCCTCTTGGGCGGTCTCTGTAGTTTGCTCCTCATCGTTCCATCCCCAGGCATCAGCACCGTCGTCTTCCTCTTGTGTGTCGCCTTTGGCTTCCGGTTCCTCGTCATCGTCGACTCCCCATTCCGCGCCCCAGTCATCTTCTGCGACGGTACCGGCTACACCGTTCGCCGTCAACTCCTTGCCTTCGGACCGAGACACCATTTGCTTTTCCACCTTTTCGACTTGCTTTGTGGCGCCGAGACCTACGAAATGTCAGCAAGATTTTGAATAGGCATACACTGGGTGACAGACCGTTTGACATCTGCACCCTGACCGAATCAAGGGCTGTTTCTCTGCACTTTGCAAGCCATATTGACGGCGCACTGCCAACCCATTCCTTGAGCTCCGTAAACCCAGTGAATCCGTTGTCTTCAAGGACCTCGCAAAAGCGCCGTGCAGATTCGATGACAGCCTGGAACCTCCCGAGATCCTTGAGATTTGAGGGCACTTCTGAGTCGAGCCAGACTGAGATGAGCCTCGGGACCAGGTCGCTCATCATGATGGGGCTGAAGAACATGAGGAGGTCCGGTGTCAGTCTCTTGGCCAGGAACTCAACCACCTTTTGGAGATCCGTGAATAGCTCGTCGATTGATCTGCCAGCTTGACCATTCAATTCCACAACGTTCTACCGGGGTCAGCAACTGAGCCGTCAGACTGTCTTTGGGACATACCTCAGTCTCGCGGATGGAAGGCAGCGATGAAGCTTGCGTGTCCATGCGCGGAAACACAATGGCCTTGTCGACATCGTGCCACAGCTTGGACATGCGGTCTTCAACCTCTTTGTAGGCCTGGAGACCAATGATGGCTTCCGATAGCGTCATTTGCTCGTCTGGATTCTGTTAGCTTCCGGTGGGTTCAACCAGACGGATACCAAGTACCATCCAACTTGTTGTAAATTGCCAGGGAGCCGGCTTCGAGATCCGTGTGAACAAGCGATGCCCAAACGTGGTCGAAGACGTCGTGAACATGTGACTTTAGCTCGAAAGCCCTTACGTCAAGGAGCCTCATGATCCGGCATGCCTTCTTGTTGACCGGGACGGCATCGAGCTCTGTCCAAGATTCTGCATAGCATTAGCCTCTCGCCCCAATGCCGATGCGATGTTTCGGTCCTTACTCTCCAGCCACCGGAGCGATTCGATGATGCGCCGCTCGTTCATCGCCTGCTCGACCTCCCCCAAAAGCTCGTTGACATGCTGGATGCCCCTGAGGGCGTCGTGCAGCTGGTTCGTGTATAGCACCTCCTTCTCAAGAAACTGTATGTGGTCCTTCGCATCTTGTATAGCCTTTCCCGAAACCTGCGGCGCTTCCGATTGTCGGACAATGTCGTCGGCCAGCCTCTTGGATCGCAAGATGTCTTCCTGTAGTGTTTTCGCATTGTGCACCCACGAGCTGACGTCGCCCTTGGTCTCTTCGTTGATCGTGTGGATTTCAGACTGCGCATGCATCAGTAAGAGGCCGTCATCGCTCGCTGTGGGCCTCGCATTACCTCCAAATCACCCTTGGCCCGTTCCAGCGCATCAATCGCAGGCGACAAATCCGAAGAGGACAGCGACAGCGATGACACCTGCTCGTCGGGGAAGCGCCCCTCGAGCGCAAAGGCAACTACGGCCTCTCCGATGTGCGCAGAGGCATTCTGATCTGTTTCGACGGCCATCGTCTCGTTCCGCTGCCGTGCGCGGGTCACACGTGTGGCTTCTCGAAGCTCTCGATATCGCGGGACCGCTTCGGTCGGGGCGCCAGGTGTCAGGGCAGGTCGCAAGCAGGAAATGGAATGCGGTAGATCGAGGTTTGGGAAGGTTCGCCTAGAGTTCAGAGACGTGATTCTGCAAATATGTAGCTAAGAAACGGGCGACAGGAGGACTTTGCCTCGTCTTCGGAGCGATGCCGCATAAAACTGGGCGATGAGCTACGGGCAATTATGACACTGGATTGCATAGCTGTCCCGAAAGCACCCACGTCACAATTCGATATCGCTCCCCGGTACGTACCTCGGGTCCGATCCGACCTCGTGCCGAGCGGTTGGCGCTTGGCCCAGCGTAGTCTCCCGCGGCAAGGGGCCAATCAGAAGACACCACCCCGCCGATGACCTTGCGAAAATCAAAAAATAAAGATAAACTCCACTGGTCTCTTGCCCTGGACTTTTGGAGGGGCAGATGGACCAGTGCGCTTCATTGTACGGCCAGCGACATCTCTCACGTTCTCGTGCCCCGCGACGAACTGGTAACTCGCAACCTAAAGGAAGCGCGCCAACGGGAAACCAAAGCTCAACTATAAGGTATATACCAACCCCTGAGGACGCCTGTAAGCCTCAGCATCAGCTCGTTCTCCAGTGCCGTCGATACCCCGCCATCCTTGTGTCAGCATCTCTCGTGGCAGCGGTTAGGTAACCGCTACATCGTTCCCTATCACGGGCTGGCCAATACGCTTCGGGAAGCCTCATTGGTCTTCTTCATCTCTGTCCATTAGGCTGGCAAAGCCGGCTTCTGTACGGTAAGATGCTGCGCCTTTTTCTTCCGTCCGTCCTACTCGTTCTTTCTTGTCAAGTCTTTTTGGCTGAAGTGGTTTCCCCCGATTGGCCCCTTGTAATTCTACTTCTCTGCTTTGCCTGTCAACTGGTTGTATGCCATGGCGCATTGCGCTGCACCCTTCCGAGGCTGCAAGCTTCACACGACTGTCTGAGGGCATCCTTCCCGTGTCTGACACGTTGACATGTTGAAGATTGGAGTCGGTCAAGTGGCGCTTGCCGTGGCCGTTGCGCTTCTGGCGGCTTGTCTTGTTCCCCATCATGGACACATCTTATCCAACAGAGCTGGGTATGTCTCTTCTCGGACCGGATGTCCTGGTATCCACGGACGCATGGCCGTTTGTCATACGAACTACTGCATCTATCCGCTGTCTGGTTATCTTCCCCTCCCGTTTCCAACAGCTAGCTCCTGTTTTCCGGTGAAGAGCTTCGTCAAGAGACCCGTATTACCCTGCTTCAGCTGGGTTTGTTGTCTCCTTACCCAAGGGCCATTAAACTGTTTGCTCATGACTCTTCGAGCCCCTGTGTTCTTGTGCCCCTGCCCATGCCTTTATAAGAATCTCCCACAACTACACAGGACACCAAGTTGACCATCTTGTCAGATCATTTCAAAGCTTGTTCAAAGCAAAGACACACACCATGTCGCCTGAGGAGCAACCCAAGCCGCAGCCGCGGTTCCGCAAGGTCCAGAGCTTCAAGACGGACTACGCCCCGTGCCAAATCAGCCAGTATGTCTCGGAGAGGAGCGGCATGCAGGTGATTGTGGCCGATCGCAAGGGCCCCAAGACCAACGGCTACTTCACTCTCGCAACCGAGATCTTTGACGACTCGGGCGCCCCTCACACTCTCGAGCATCTGGTATTTATGGGCTCAAAGAACTACCGCTACAAGGGACTCCTCGACAAGCTGGCCTCCCGAGCCTACTCTGGGACGAACGCCTGGACTGCGACGGATCACACCGCGTACACGCTCGAGAGCGCTGGTTGGGAAGGCTTCTCACAGATCCTGCCAGTGTATCTCGAGCATGTCATCGTGCCCGTCATCACGGACGAGGCGTGCATCACCGAGGTGCACCACATTGACGGCGAGGGTAATGATGCGGGTGTTGTCTACTCAGAGATGCAGGCCGTGCAATTCAAGAGCGCCGAAATCATGGATCTACGCGCGCGCCGACTGCTGTACCCGGAGAACGTGGGCTTCCGCTACGAGACCGGAGGCATGACGGAGGCCCTCCGGGTTTTGACCCCTGACCGCATCCGCCAGTTCCACCGTGATATGTACCAGCCCCGTAACCTCGCCGTGGTCATCATTGGCGAAGCGGACCACAACGAGCTGCTGCAGATCCTGGACGAGTTTGAGGAGAGCATCAAGGACGACCTTCCGCCGCTGGATTCCCCTTTCAAGAGGTAGTATAATCCCCCACACCTAACAAACCATGCTGACGTGAGTGTGCAGACCTTGGATCGACTCAGCACAGCCTCCGGCGCTCAAGGAGACCATCATCACCACAGCCGAGTTCCCTGAAGAGGACGAATCCGTCGGCGAGATCACTGTGGCTTTCTACGGCCCCAACTGCACCAACACCATCGAGACGTCTGCGCTCAACGTCCTGCTGACTTATCTTTGCGGCTCCTCTGTGTCGATTCTCGAGAACGTCATTGTCGAAAAGGAGGAGCTTGCCAGCTCCGTGTCCTACTGGTGGGATGCCAGGCCCAACTCTGTGATCTGGTTCCAGCCGACTGGCGTCGAGACGGATAAGCTGGAATTTGTCGAGAAGAGACTCGTCGACCTACTCAAGGAAGTGGCATCGAAGCCTTTGGACATGGCATACCTGACCTCATGCATCCACCGCGAACGCCTTCAGGTCAAGTTCCAGGCCGAGGAGTCTGAGGGTTTCTACTCCAACAACATCATCACGGACTACCTTTTCGGCAAGCGTGACGGTTCGACGCTGAAGGACTTGCAGTCCCTGTCCGAGTACGAGGAGCTCGAGAAGTGGACCGACGCACAATGGAGGGACTTTTTGCGCAAGTGGCTGTCCGATGCTCCCCACGTCTCCATCCTCGGCAAGCCGTCCCACGAGCTCGCAAAGAAGCAAAAGGCCGACGAGGAGGCGAGGCTCGCAAAGAGAAAGGAGGAGCTCGGCGCCGAGGGTCTGGCTGACCTCAAGAAGCGTCTCGAGGCTGCCAAGGCCAAGAACGATGAGCCCATCCCGGCCTCCGTGATCGATCAGTGGGCTGTCCCCGGCACCGAGTCGATTCACTTCATCGAGTCTGACACGGCGAGGTCTGGAAAGGCCAAGAGCCTCGGCCTCGTTGACAACGCGGCGCAAAAGGTCATTGACGGCGCCAAGCAAGGAAAAGACCCCCTCTTCATCCAGTTCGAGAGCGTGCCGACCGACTTTGTGCACCTGACGGTCTATCTCGGGACATCACAGGTACCGATCGAGCTGAAGCCGTTGCTGCCCATCTTCAACGACAACTTCTTCAACACTCCCATCATGCGCGATGGGGAAAAGGTTGGCTTCGAACAGGTCGTCATGGAGCTGGAGCAGGACACCATTAGCTATGGTCTGCGCTCGACACGAGACTACGGCGACCCCGACGGCGTCATGATCCAGTTCCAAATCGAGCCCGCAAAGTACTCCACCGTCATCAACTGGATCCGCACCATGATGTTCGACAGCGTCTTCGACATCCAGCGCCTAAAGGCGGGCGTCCAGAAGCACCTGGCCGACATCCCCGAGCTGAAGCGTGACGGCAGATCCATGGCGTCCGAAATCGACATGTCCATCCACATGAAGAAGGAGTCCTACTCGGTCGCCAAGCGCGCACTCGTCAGAGCAATCTACCTGCGCCGCCTCAAGAAGCTCATCGCCTCCGACCCGGAAAAGGTCCTCTCCTGGTTCGAGCAGCTGCGCAAGTCCCTCTTCACCTCGAACAACGTGCGCATCCTCGTCACCGCCGACGTCACCCGCCTGCCCGAGCCCGTGGCCGCCTGGGACATCCTCAGCACCCAACTCGGGGGCTCCGACGAGCTGCTCCCCATCGTCAAGCCGCACACCCTGCTCACAAAGGAGGGCCAGAACCCGGGTACCGTCGGCGCCACCATCGTGCCCATGACCACGGCCGAGAGCTCCTACGGCGTCAGCACGGCCAAGGGCATCACCTCCTTCGACGACCCCCGCCTCCCGGCCATCATGGTGGCCATCGGCTACCTCGAGACCACCGAGGGCCCCCTCTGGAACTCGGTCCGCGGGCAAGGGTTGGCGTACGGCTCGTATTTCGGCCGCGAGCTCGACACGGGCGTGATCCAGTACAAGGTGTACCGCTCGCCGGACGCCAGCAAGGCTTTTTCCGTGTCGCGCGAGACGATCCGCAAGATCGCCGAGGGCGAGGTCGAGATCGACCGCCACCTCAAGGAGGGCGCCATCAGCCAGGTCGTCGTGCAGTTCGCCGACGAGCAGTCGACCATGGCGTCGTCGGCGGCGCAGAACTTCATGCTCGGCGTCGTGCGCAGCCTGCCGCTCGACTGGCACAAGAAGGTCATGAGGGACGTCCGGGACGTGACGGACGAGCAGATCAAGACGGTGCTCAAGGAGCTCGTCATGCCTGTTTTCGAGCCGGGCAAGAGCAATGTTGTTATTACCTGCGCTCCGATCTTGCAAGAGGTATGCCTTTCCCCCAGCTTCACAACAGACATTTACTGACACATGGTTACAGAACATTGAAAAGGCGTTCAAGGAGATGGGGTACAAGACGGATGTCCAGCAACTCGCCTACTTCCACGACGACTACGGCCTCAAGGGCGACGAGGACGAGGAGGAGCTCGAGGAAGACGAGGATGACGAGTCCGACGATGACGAAGAGGATGATAGCGAGGGCGAATACAGTGATGAAGAGTCGGATTAAGACGGTGGGCAAAAGACCATGTTAGAAGAAGACTAGCACCGATAGAGCTGGCAGCCACAGCACCTTTCGCTTCTGGGCTGGAATATCACAGACGTCTGCTTAAAATATATGAAGGAGTCTCAACCATGTTTGTGAATTTGGTAATAGACCGGGCTCCTTATCCAAGGGTGTCATCCGGGGACCATCTCTCGATACGGAATGATCAATCTAGTGAAGCTCCATGTCTGCCCGTCTACCCCTTTTCAATAGGCTCTACAGATCTTCACGAAGCTGGATCGAGCTGATCTAGCTGTGCCTCTCTTTCTAGACGTCTGAGAAGTTCGATCTTGTCATCTTTTCTCCCTGACAAAAACGCAGTTGGAACGGTACAGAGGCGCGACCACAGCCGTCAACAATCCCCAATGGAGTCTTGCAGAGCGCTGTTCAAGTTCCAATGTTTCTTTATGCTTTAGTCAGAGCTGCACCGCTATGCAATCCATGGAATAGAAACGATTTAATTCGCAAAAGGTGCTAAAAAAAGAAAGAAAAGAAGAAAAAAAAAACCCCCCCATCATTATCCGTTCCCAGCAGAGGTAAGAGTGTGGAAAGCTCCCCGATACTCTGCCAGGAAGCCCAGAAAACACCAAAAACACCAATCTTGAATTTTGGAAAAAGGAAACCATGAAGAATGTACATCTCAGAATTCAAAGTTCCCTAATCCCTTTGCAAAGTAATAAAACCCGTACATGAATGCGTTATACACTTTCTAAAATCCCCTAGTGACCCCAATCCTTGCTGATGGAACATGAAAGATGACGCTTTCTGGATATCACTTTCTAAAAACGCTCTCTCTCTCTGTTTGCCCCTATTTTGAAAATTGTTGACTTCCCCTCTCTGTCTCTTCCTAATTTATCATCCTCCACCACCTCAATCCACATCATCATCATTCTCAGGCTGGTCCCTAAACGACGGCGAAGACGGGCTATGCTTCCTCAACAGCCCGCTGGCCCCGCTCCGTCCCCACCCGCCGTTGGTCACCAGGTTCAGCGCGCGGTGCTCCGCCGCCGCCGGGTCCTCCATGTCGAGGTCGCTGTCGTCGAGCTCGTCCTCGAGCGCCCGGCCGCGCGGGCTGAGCTTCCGCATCGGCATCGACTCTTGAAACCCGTCGGCGTACAGGTTCGGGTCGCGGCCCAGGACCCGGTCGGCCTTGGAGGGCGTCTTGCGCGATCCACCGTTGGAGGGAGGGGGAGGAGGAGGAGGCGAGGTCAGATAGTGTCGGCCCGCGCCGTCGGGCTTGGTAGGCGGCGCCTCGCGCATAAACGTCGGGGGCTCGTCGGTACCCCAGCCGGCATTGATCTCGCGCGCGCGCTGTT